AGGTATGTTCATTTTCTCACATTACACCTTTTCCAAAGCAATGTAATTTCATGGCTAATGGACAGTTAGTGGATTTTATATTATTTTTCTTTCCAAATTATTTTAATATTTCTGATTCTTGGCATTTTTTTCTCCATGGTCTGAAATGGAGGCATGTGACTGTTATTTGAATTAATTTTTTCAGAGAAATCCAGTGTTTGACTTCATCTTCTGTATACTGTTCTCAGTAAAAACATACTGTTCTTCAGTCAGATGCAGCTGTAGTTTCATCTTCATGGAGTGTAGCATATATACATTCCATCAGAAACTTGAAATTCATTTCATTAATTCAAAAATTATCTTTTAATCAATTTGCATTGTTTCTATTTTCATGACATGATGTTTCCTAACTGGCTAATCATTTCTTGTATGTGTTTCTTGACACTGACTTTATCAGAATTGCTCTGCCAGTCTGTCTTGTTAAACAAGATATAGCATCAGACATTTCTTCTAGTCATGGAGGAGGATACATATTTCATTCCTCTGATACTTCCTTCTCCTCTCTGAAGTGTGTACACATGATATCTCAGTGCAATTGTGTTACTGTTTCTATGAATTGATTTTTTTCTCTTTCTTCATTTTTCTTCTTTGATGGGTGTGTGGTCATTGCGTTGAACTGCGTCAAATACAAAATAACCTGATTGCAAACATTTTCTTGTTTTTGACTTGAGAGAGTGATAATTATTTTCGTTTGAAGAGCTACCATTATGTAATCTCTGACTGCATGACTGAAGATCTAATTGATACAATAAAAAAATGATAGTGGGAGGAGTCAGGTATGGTAACATGCATGATCAAGATCTACATTCTTAACAAAAAGACTGTTAAAAACATAGGGGAAGATTCCTAAAAAATAACAATTCAGTACTACTTCTAAAATAGGAAAGAAGTGATACTGGGAAAAATCAAGTATGGCTTATTGATATAAGGACAATTACAAAAAGCTGATTTTTTTTTTCTCAGGTTTATGACTGTCATGATAGATATAGATGCTGATAAATTACAGGAGAAGATTGCATAGATAAACTCCTAAAGGGATGTATAATACAAAGACACAGAGT